TTTAAGGTATCTACTTCAAACTTCAAATATATACTGCTTATCATTACATACATGTTGTGTGACAAGGTTCATAACTCTAGCGTGACTATTTCTAGAATTATTTCCCTTGATCTTGGAATTTATTTTAACAAATGTTATTTTTTTACTATAACATAATACATAATTATACATAATTGATTTTCCTTTCATAGTTTTGTCCTCCTTACTGTGTCCAGTATTTTATTAGTCGAGCTTGGCTGTCTCCTGTGACAGCTCTTGTTATAGAAAGGTCCTTTCCAGTCTGCATGGTCTGACTAAAGTTTAGATCTGATTGTCTCCGTATTTGTTTAATTTTCATTGTAATTTGGATTTCCCAGGAAAGCTATTTTTAGCAATGAAATCAAACCGTCCTTTACAGATAGGAATAAGACAAAGTATCAAAATATCATTTTCTGTTTAGCATCGATATAAATAAACATATTGTGATTTTTGATAGAAAAAAAAAATTGTTTGAAGTAATGTGAAATACACTGGAAATTAATGACTACATTTTTAATGGGCATTGTTGTTTTGCCAGTTTACCTGCCGCCTATATGGACAACACCATGTTTGTCCTCGAAATTGTGAAAATGACCTACTCAGTAATGGTTTTTCCAGCCGTTTAAATTAGAAACCATATGGGTTTTAAAATTGTGTAAGCTCACCGATAATTGGCTGTTTGAAAGGTTATGAGAAAGTGACAACCTATTGGTGGTCGTCAGATCCTAATGCGTAGTGTTAATTAGGAGCTGATTTTAATCATATTGGAGCCCATTCTTACATTTGCATGCAATTTATGCGCAACTTTTTTGTTTTTCATAGTGAATTTATATTGCCTCCTATTTGTTAAAGAAATTTATAATTTGTTTGGTAGTTGGGTAAGAAAAGGGATGAAAAATCAGAAGAAACTCTTATAGCAGTTTGTCTCTTACCAGTACTCCTTTAAAGGTTCTTATTATTCCAGTTCAAATAACATGATTTAAGTTTTCAAGCCTGTACATAATTGTTTCTTTCTTTGTATTTAGAAAAGTATACTTAATAATACTTAGATATTTTATCTAGAAATACAATTTAATTCCAGAGTTATGTGTTTATTAATTTTGAATTTTTGAAATTTTTTATTATTTTAAAAACTTCCAGAACTTTCACTGAATTTATGTATCTTCAGCAACCTTTATTGCTTACAGTAAAAATTATTTTGTTTTGTTATAATTTTATTTCTTAAAATAAGGATTATTTTTACCAAAACAGCAATATTCTTTTACATTATGACAAATAAGTTAATACTATGTAATATTATGACATTTAATTACTACTAAAATATATCTTCTAAAAGTTCTAAAGAGTTTCATTTAATTTTGTGTTAAGTATTTAAATACACTTTTAAAATGTCAGTTTCTAAAAAATTGTAAAATTTTGATTGGCGAACTAATTGTAAAATTCAAAAAAGTGTTTTCCTGGGTGCATAATTGTCAATTTTATTATGTTTCAATAGTGTCTATCATGCATTTATTGAACTTATATACATATTAGTTACTGGTACAAATGTTAAAAGAATAAAATGTTTCCTTAGATAAAATATTTCAGTTAATTTAAAGTGGGGTTTAGTATATTATAAGATTGAAATATATTTCATGAAATGAACACCCGATGCGATATTTTGACACAGCCACAACGGCCCACAAGTGATAAAATAACACCATTATAACATTAAATGAAATATAATTTGATCTACCAATTGCAAAATATTTATTTCATCTATTTTTAAAGGTTTTAAGGCACTTTTTGTCTGTGTCAATCATCATAATATATATTACTTTATCACATTATTTTTATCCAAAAAATAATTCTGTAGTATTTCATGAATTCTGTTTGATTTTTAACTTATGTGCAACAAATATTGAAGTGCTTAATTCTTATCATATATCACATTATACTAATGACTAAGTGTATTTCTCATAATATGTCCATTTATTACATGCTTTTCAGTGGACAGTAAAATTATATAATATAATTATCAAAGTAGCCAGACTATATCTAAATGCGGATGAAAAGAATAATTATAACTTAATACATAGAAATACTGTCCGATTGCGAATACACACCATTATGAGTAAAATGTGCTTGAATACGAGAAACACATAAATATCTAGTTATCTATACAGTCATATCATTTTAAAAATGTAACATTATATCGTAAAAGTTTACAGGATTATTTCTTAACAAGAACTATGTGACATGATGATTTTATGACATCATTAATGAGAGCGCATATTGTTATTTGGCAAAAGTCAGGAAAAAAATATTAAAACCGATAAAAAAGCATGGAATAAATAGCAAATTTGTTTTTTATATGCAAGATCATATTATATTTGTAAAATTATAGTCACAAAACAATTTTTTTATAAATTGAATTAATGATATATCTTTTAAATTTGCAAAATGTCTAATGTGTTAGTAAGTAATTTCTCAATAACATAATTTATTTTTTACCAGTACCTATTTAAATTAAAAATAAAAAGAGACTTAAAGATGCATGCCTCCAGATGAACCAAAATATTTCAATAAAACCAAACTTGGAACAAAAGTATTCAGATTTCAAGAAAAGTAAAAAGATTCAAGATAAAAGTAACAGTTCCATGTTATGTGCGATTTATGACTGATTTTGCAGTATTTTCAACCTTAGTTCTATTGCATTACTAACACAGGGCTATTTTAGCATATTTTGACCTATTTTTGGTAATTTACATGGTTTGTAAGTGCTGTTTGCAATGTGAAAGTTATTTTCTTTTTTCACTTCACAATATTTAACTTTATAATACATTTTCAAATTTTTCATGAAAATCAGCATGAATCTGGAGGTGTGCTGCTTTAAAGGATTGTAAAATTCCTACAATGGAGGGTTAAAGCAGTCCTTTAATTGTGCATCAACAAGGATGCATTCACAGACCAAGCATGCATGCAATGCTTTCTAGCACTAAGTACCATATGTTCATCATTTCATTATTTGTGTCATTGTAGTCAGTTTTTTTTACATGGGAATGTGTATAAAAACAAACGATATGACTAGAATGAAAATTATTATCCTATTCTTGTGTTTGATGAGATAATAAGTCAAGGTTGCCATCACTTGTACCTGCTATATATTTTAGTAGGGTATAAATTACTGATAATTATGCAAATATTGTAACAATATCAAATTATACTATATAATATGGTCTTAAAACAGCCCCAAACCATAATATGCCTTCAAAAAATATTATTTAAGAAATCAAATTTATTTTCAAAAAGTAATCATATATTCTAACTTGATAGATAAAAGACATTCTTAACTTTCAAGTTATTGCAAAAGTAATCTATCTTAAGATAGAATAGTTTTGCACAAGATTTAGGAATCAACGGGACATATTTTATAGTGTTAAAGTATTCTAACTCAAGATAGAATAGTTTTGCACAATAAATATTCAGGAAAAAGTAGCTTTTCTAGTGCAATACTAGGCTATGTTAACATGTAGGCAATAAAATGCATATTTTACACTTTTCTTGAAAAAATGAACATGTACACAACTTATTTCTGTTTTTTGATAAGATTGGTTGTGAATTTTTTTTCAAAAAATGAAATCACAATAAAATAACATATTTTTTCCATTTCCTGAAAATTTTTCAAAATACAAGTTAGAATAGTCTTGCGCCGAGCCCTCGAATATGTGTAACGCCATTCAATATAGACATCGATTTCTTGAAGTCAAGCGGTATGGTTATTAACAGACCAAAAAAAAAAAAAAAAGATAAAAAAGTAACTGCCTTAAAGGTCTATTGGATGATTTATAAGCTTTTGACAAATCAGCAGAACAACCAAATTTATGAATTTTTGATTTATTAAAAAAAAACTTGATTTTTATTTCCTTACCCCATGTATGCATAATTTTTTTTATTTGCACATACTGGTACATAATTACAATACCCCAGAAATCTCAACATTTACTATACCTCAGAAATCCTACATGCAGCCCTATACCCATGGAAAATCTGTATAGCCCCTTTATTCTTGTACATGGAATGTGCCAAGAAAATGAAATCCTGGTATAAAGAAGAGTTGTTTTAATGCATTTTCTTATTTTTCAAGTTGCTTATGGTTTAATATACCATGTGTAGATAATTTCAGATATATGTATACTACTTTGTTAAGAAACAAACATTAATATATAATTTTATTCAATAAAAACTTATATTATAACAATAATTGCAATTGTTGGATTGATTAGGCTGAAGTTTGATGTCACTGCTTAAAAAGATAGGTTTTTTGTAAGAAAAGTAAAATTGATAAAACTTGGCTATCAGTAATAATATTAGTTATTTTATATTTAGTTAGTTAGTTTTAAAAGCTCTTGTAAAAGATATACAATGCTCATCCTTAAGTAAAATATTTAAATGACAGAAATTTTTTGAAATCTATGAAATTCTTCTTTAAATACAATTAAATACATCTAATTTGAATAAAAGAAATGAATAAACTATGTATTGGAAGCTGCATTCCCTATTATAGGTTAAGTAAAGTTGGTTTTCTCTTTAAAAAAACTGCTAGTTTCTGTTTGTGATGACCACCTATAGTGTGTGGAATTTTAAACATATCATATCTACTTTGTGTGATAAAAAAAAACATGTTTATTTTAATTTGTATTTACAAAGACACTGTGCAGCAATTATCAATATTTTCTAATGTCAAATTGAGCATGGTATATCTTTAATTCAACTTATGAAATTCTTATGTGATATTTTTGTGTGCCTATTGTTGTACATGATTTTTTTTTGGATATATGACCCTGGAATATTAAGTTTTAAGAACTGGAAGAATGATTTTGTATCCTATATATTTATGGGTAAAAGTTTTCAGGATTATTCCTGAAGTTACGGATTTTCAGTTTCCTGAAAGCTTTCTTTCTAATTCCTATATAAAACCATTGAAAAACTGCCTAATTCAGGATTTTCAGGATTTTTAAAATTACCAACTTTTACCTATGTATTATATTGCCTATTACAGAGTGTGTCCAGCTTTTCTGGCTCAAGACGGGGCAGCAATGAATCTACAGAGTCCGATGTTTCCTCGAAGGACAGCAGGGATCCCAAGGATCAGGTCCGACAATTTAAGGTTAGTTCGTACAGTCACCATTTAGCTCTTTGTCGGACAGTACCATATATTCAACTTCTTCTGTAATGTTGCTATTGAGGGTTAGTTTTTTCTTGTTGGTTTTATGAACAAAGCTGGTTCATGTTTAGAATTCAAAAGAAGTGTGTTAAATAATGACAAAGATTCCAAATTGAATCTTCAGGAAATGAATTGCAAATCCCAACAAGATCTTTGGATTCTTTCATGTGAGGAAGCTGTCAAGCTAGCTTACAGAGCGTCAGTGGTTCTACTTAGGTGCCCGTTTGTGCCTGAAATAATGCACTTAGGGGTACCTGAGGTTTGCCCCTTGCCAAAAAGCTGGTAAGTTGCCATATGACCAATAATGTGTTGATGCGATGTAAAACCCAAGAACAAAGAATATATCATAAACTGTTTATATAAACTATATTTGTTTATTTTAACCAAATTCTAAATGAAAAGCACGCAATACAATAATACAATGTGACGTACAATACAATAATACAATGTGACGTCATTTATTCACTGAAACAACATAACAGGCTTAAATTCAAAACAGAAAAAATATCAAATTGATATTTTCACTGTTTCAAATAGTGAGAATATCAGTTTTATATTTCACTGTTATATTTCTAATAACCACCGAAAAGCATGTAATAAATAATATATGAGCCACATCATGACAAAACCAACATAATGGGTTTGCGACCAGCCTGCGCGTCCCTGCAGTCTGATCAGGATCCATGCTATTCGCTATCTGTTTCTCTACTTGTAATAGAGTTGGTAAACGAACAGCATGGATCCTGATCAGCCTGCGCGGATGCTGGTTGCAAACGCATTACATTGGTTTTGTCGTGACGCGGCTTATATGTACATTTTGTAGAATCAATTACGAGAATTGGAGGAGAAGTACAAGGCGGCTATGGTGACAAATGCTCAACTAGATAATACAAAAACAAGTCAAGTGTTCCAATTAGAACTGCTGAAAGAACAGTTAGAAGAACAAGAAGAAGGCATGATAGAAGTACAGAGAGAGTATAAAGATAAATGTAGAGTAAGTTAGCATTAGAATCTGAGAGGGAAACACCTTAAAGGAACTCCACTGAGGTCCAAAAGCCTAAAAACATAAAATTTGAATTTCTTACATAGATCAGCTGGGGCAATTAACATGGAAAACAATTAACAATTAAGAAATTTACTTAGAAATAAATTAAAAATGTATTATTTGTGGCCAATTTAAGTGGAAAGCTTTTCAGTTTTGGGTCACTTTACAAAATTAGAAAAGTATTCCTGGAAAAATGGAGTTGAAAATGAGATATGTTTGTTGTTGGCAGTCACAAAGGATGGTTTTTGATAATTTTTGCAGCGGGCAAAAAAAACATGATTGTTTGAACTTTATTTTATTAAACAAATCATACTTATTTGTAACATTTGCATTTCACAACCAAAAAACGTCTGGATTGGAAAACAAGTAAAATAAGACTTACAACAATTTCTCTCTGCTTACGGTAAACTTTGAAAAATTTGAAATTTATTTATTTCAAATGATAATATATCTTTTTTGTTTAAAATATTTACAAAAAGATTCATGAATTAATATGGATATGTGCCATATTTACAAAATTCATCTCCTTAGTGCAGTTATGGGTTAAGTCCTTCTAAATTTTATAGGACTTAAACGGTTATTGCACTAAGGTGACAAAATATGGTATTTTGCAGAGGTCTGAGAACAAATTATATATGCTATTTAAAACGGTTTCCTTTCTAGTAATTTATTACACTATTTGGAATGTTTCAGGTTATACAGGAAGTAGGTTCAATTTTGAAATGTTAATGTTCATCGATGTTATTTCAAACACGTTGCTTTTGTTTGTTTTTAGCTCACCTGAGCATGCTCAGGGTGAGCTTTTAGGATCGATGATTGTCTGTCGGCCGTCCTCCGTTCACATTTGTTGTTAACACTCTAGCGGTCGCATTTTTGCCTCAATCATCATCAAACTTGGTCAGGATGCTTGTCTAGTTGATAGCTTGGATGAGTTCGAACATGGGTCATCTGGGATGAAAAACTAGGTCACAAGAGCTAAAAATAGAAAAACCTTGTTAACACTCTAGCGATCGCATTTTTGCCTCAATCATCATCAAACTTGGTCAGGATGCTTATCTAGTTGATAGCTTGGATGAGTTCGAACATGGGTCATCTGGGATGAAAAACTAGGTCACAAGAGCTAAAAATAGAAAAACCTTGTTAATACTTTAGAGGTCACATTTTTGCCTCAATCATCATCAAACTTGGTCAGGATGTTTGTCTAGGTGATAGCTCGGATGAGTTCGAACATGGGTCATCTCGGATGAAAAAGTAGGTCACCTGAGCTAAAAATAGAAAAACCTTGTTAACACTCTAGCGGTCACATTTTTGCATCAATCATCATCAAACTTGGTCAGGATGCTTGTCTAGGTGATAGCTTGGATGAGTTCGAACATGGGTCATCTCGGATGAAAAACTAGGTCATCGGAGCTAAAAATAGAAAAACCTTGTTAACACTCCAGCGGTCACATTTTTGCCTCAATCATCATCAAACTTGGTCAGGATGCTTATCTAGTTGATAGCTCGGATGAGTTTGAACATGGGTCATCTCGGATGAAAAACTAGGTCACAAGAGCTAAAAATAGAAAAACCTTGTTAACACTAGCGATCACATTTTTGCATCAATCATCATCAAACTTGGTCAGGATGCTTGTCTAGGTGATAGCTCAGATGAGTTTGAATATGGGTCATCTCGTATTAAAAACTAGGTCACCGGAGCTAAAAATAGAAAAACCTTGTTAAAACTCCAGCGGTCACATTTTTGCATCAATCATCATCAAACTTGGTCAGGATGCTTGTCTAGGTGATAGCTTGGATGAGTTCGAACATGGGTCATCTCGGATGAAAAACTAGGTCACAGGAGCTAAAAATAGAAAAACCTTGTTAACACTCTAGCGGTCACATTTTTGCATCAATCATCATCAAACTTGGTCAGGATGCTTGTCTAGGTGATAGCTCAGATGAGTTCGAATATGGGTCATCTCGGATGAAAAACTAGGTCACAAGAGCTAAAAATAGAAAAACCTTGTTAACACTCTAGCGGTCACATTTTTGCATCAATCATCATCAAACTTGGTCAGGATGCTTGTCTAGGTGATAGCTCAGATGAGTTCGAATATGGGTCATCTCGGATGAAAAACTAGGTCACCGGAGCTAAAAATAGAAAAACCTTGTTAACACTCCAGCGGTCACATTTTTGCATCAATCATCATCAAACTTGGTCAGGATGCTTGTCTAGGTGATAGCTTGGATGAGTTCGAACATGGGTCACCTCAGATGAAAAGTAGGTCACCTGAGCTTAAAATAGAAAAACCTTATTAACACTCTAGCGGTCACTTTTTTGCCTCAATCATCATCAAACTTGGATGAGTTCGAACATGGGTCATCTCGGATGAAAAAGTAGGTCATCGGATGGGTCAGGTGAGCAATGTAGGGCCATCATGGCCCTCTTGTTTTGTTACCTAAACCTATTTCAATATGTTTTATGTTGAACTTTGTGACATTATGCCCAACTAAATGTAAATGATGAAATAATGTACAGGTCAAAGCCGGGAAAGAAATTGTTTGCTTTACAAATTTAAATGTAGAAAGGGGATGGATAGATTGGAGATATGAAGGTGTTTCCATATTGTTTATGTATTTTATGGATGGAAAATTATATTTTCCATCCTAATTCTTTTGATTTGACAATTATATGCAATGGTTTATCTAGAAATAACATATTTAACCTTTAGAAAAGCTGAGGGCCGTTTTAAATTTCAAGTTTGACATCGAAACTGATGTATATCCCTCTAAAATAAAATCGTGCAGCTTAAAATTTAAAGCAAAGAAAGTCTATTTCACAAATTCAGCAGGATAGCCTATGGGTTAAGAATTTGGCAAATAATATCAAAACATCCAAAATGAATTTTGAAGAGAAAATTTTATATAATGTATTTCTCTTTTCAGGAATATGACCTTTTAAAAAGGGATCATGAAAGTTTAAAATTAGAATTTGATGGAATCAAGCAACAAATAGAAATTAAAGATAAATTATTAAAGGTAAGTGAAATTTTACAGGGCGAGTCATAATTTTTTTTTATTGATTGTACTGTTTAAAAAAATTAAGAACTATGCAAAGTCTTTTCCAGGACATATGAATGCTAATCTATGAAATTACTTTCTTTCAAAGGATCATAATTGCAAAGATTATCAGATTGATTTTTAAACTGTCAATGATATTTTTTTTGATATTGAAATCCCCCCCATCCCCCCTGCCCCCCCCCCCCCCCCCAAAAAAGTAGAAAAGGAAAAAATCACCATGCCCATCGATGTTGACTGTTCTTTGTGTAAAGCAATCTTAACAAAGTGAAAAAGGGGTGTGTGTGTGTGGGGGGGGGGGGGGTTCGCTGTGGTCATATTGTTAAGGTTATGGACTTCTAGTCACTTGCCGCTCACATCTGTAGATTCAAGCTGCACAAGTGTCTTCGGATTCTTTCATGTGCCTGAAATAATGCACTGAGGTGCACCCGGGTTTTTTCCTCCACCCCCTAAAAGCTTGAAAATCGCCATATGACCTATATTTGGTTTTGGGGGTT